ATATATATATGATATATTATATGTGTATATATATTATATATATATATATACACACACAATATACCTGTACAAAGGTGATTGAAATATATGGCAAATGTTTAAGTTTTTTTAAATGTAAAGATACATTGTCATTAACCTTCTTCAAAATACACCCCTTTGCTCTGAACACACTTAGTCTATCATTCTTGATTCTTTCTGAAGGAGCTCTAGTAGCCCTTTTCATGTGTGTCTTTTCAGGTGTGAAAGAAAATAAAGTGAACTCTACTAGTCTCATGCAAACATTATGGTGTGGCCTCACCCATTTTATTCACTGGATCTGTTGCCATGTGACATCTGGCTCTTCCCCAAAGTCAAAATGACCATGAAAAGTAAACATTTTGAACCCATTCAGGATACTGAGGCATCCACTGTAGCTGAGATAACGATGTTTACAAAAGAGGACTTGCAGAACTGCTCCAGAAAGTGGCAAGAACAATGGGATATGTGTGTTCATAAGGGAAGAGGAGCATTTTAAGGATGGTTAAAGGCAATATGTCTTTTATTGCAATACTTTCAAAACTTAAGCATGCATTGTATTTCAAATCATACTTCTGATAGTGTATTACAAATATAATAACAAAAGTATCCTAAGAAGTTATAATTGTACAGGCTAAATTGTCTTTGTTAACTCTGGTGAACTTTATATTTTTCCTAAAACACAATCTAAAAGAAAAATCTAAGGATCTAAAAAATGTTTAAAATCCAAACAGCAAATCTTTTACTGATGAAAAGGTAAACAGCGCAAATTTTTTTCCAGCTTCAAAATTATGGTTAAAATGTTGTTTTATAGGATGCATATGTTAACTACCTCTAGCTGTTTGTTTGAGGCATTCCATTTGCTATTTTTATTTGTATCTTTCACCCACACTGAATTTGAGAAGGAAAGTGCTTTTTTAATTTTAATTCAATCTTTGTATTCTCAAATTACGTGTTGGTGTTTCAATTTTTTTTTGTTTTCTTTTCTTTTCTAAGTGCTTACGTTGTTAGCTAACAATGTCTCAATTTAAATAGTGTTTTCTTGGTTTTACTAGAAGGAATAAGGGGGAGAAGTGTGCACTGCCAGCTACATGTCATCTGCAGACATTTAATTTAATTTAACTTAATTTAATTCTCTTTTCCCCAGGAATCTCTGGCAGGGTGAGAAGGTTCTTTCTGAACAAAGCATCTCTCCTCCATAGGCAATGGCAGTCTTATCAGCTACACTGCAACAATTTGCATATTTGGCATTAATTATCTCAAATCCTCATACTTTCTGTTGGAATGTAAAGGAATCCCCACAAATGTAAACACCTCTGTTCCATCATTTGAAAAATTATTTTCCACTTTCCACTCCAATTCCTGTTTCTTTCATTCCAAAACACAAGTTAAACCATGAAACCTGATTTGTGGTTATCTAGGGAAAAAAGCTGCCTCATTTAGCATTTTCAGAGACCACTGAAAGAAAAAATGTTTTAGGAGATCTATACTTAGGGTTAATTTTGACCTTGATATACCTTTTACTACTTCATGAGCATTACTGGTGAGACATTGAAAGAAATTTTATAAAAGAGGAGTGTGGTGATTATCATACTGGACTGGAAATAATAATGTATGCTAGTCATAACATCACCTTGAGATAATTTTGTTTCAATTTCTTTTCTTTTTTAAAAATTTTGGCCAAATCACTCAATTTCTGGGCCTCAGAATCATTGCTAAACACATGGTTCAAAGTTAGATGTCCTTGTATTTTGTTTCTCTTTATCATTCCTTTAATGTGCTATCTATCTATCTATTTATTTATTTATTTATTTTTGGTACTGGGGATCAAACTCAGGACCTTGCACTTGCTAGCTAGGCAGTGAAACCATTGAACTAAATCCCCGGCCCTAATATGCTTTATAAAAAAGCACAGAATATACAATCTTGGAATTGAAAAAGAATAATCTTACTACATTTTATAGTTAGTAGTAACTGAAGTTGAATTCTCTCAGAAGTGAAATCAAACTTCATTTCTCAGGTCCATTTAGCACAACAAAATACAGCAAAAAAGAATTTCTAAAAATTTCTTTATTATTTAAAGAAAGAAAAAGGGTCATCTGGGAGACGAATTCTAGATGGATTCTACATTGTGAGGTAAAGTAGCATTTAAATAAATGGGATAATCACAAACACACAAAGCCAAGTTAATGTAAAAGTTCTTTCAAAACTTGTTCTCTTATAGGGGTGGCGGTGTTGGTTCAGCTTTGGAAGATCCACCCCCAAAAGTCATCATTTTAACAGAGGAAAGGAAAAAGCCATATGACCCTGTCAGTAGTTGCAGGAAAAGTATTGGACTAAATTCTACAGCTGTTCATGGTAA